CAAAACCCTAAACCCTAAACCAACCTTCAAGGGCGAGCCCAAAGTGAGGGGCACCCTCGGCCCTCGAGGTCCATGGCACTGAAGGCGGCAGAAAGGGAGCCGTGTGCCTCCTCAAGGGTCTAGGGTCTAGGGTTTAGGGTTTAAGGTTTAGGGTTCTAGCGTTGCTGGTTTTTGCATCGGTCGTTTGAATTTGTTTAAGGGGATTTAGTTGCTGCTGCCGCCGCCGCCGCTGCTGTTGTTGCCGCTGCTGCTGTTGCTGCTGCTGGTTCTTAGAAGTTGGCTTTTTAAGGCTTTGTACTTTTTGGGGGTCGCGTTGTTTCAAAGGGTTGCACGAGCCTGTTTAGGGTACGGCCTCGGCGTTGTCGGCTTGGGGGCTCCTAGGTTTCGGCTTCCAGGGTGTTTGTGTTCAAAGCCGCTCCGCACACACTTGCACCAGGGAAACCAATTAACTCCAGGATGGTTTAGGGTTTAGGGTTTAGGGATTTCCCCCAAAAGCCTCAAACCCTGATTCCCCAAAAGCCTAGGAAGAAGCAGGGAACCCTGTTCGCTTTTTGGATCTTCAAGGGGCCCGAGGCTTCATCAAAGCACCGTTTTACCGGGGGTCGGGGGCGGGGGGGGTGTCGGGTAACGTGTCGGGGTAACGAGCGTTCTCAAGCTAGTATGCTTAGGGCCCTAGGTGCAGGGACTGGGATTCAGGAGGTTTACACGCGCCAAAATTTTCTACTTTTCAAGCAATCGACAGACTCATGCTCTCCTTGATCCTAAAGTCCCAAAACAACTAGAATGCAAGGCTCTAAACACCAGTGTCCTTAACACGCCTATGAAACTTAGTGATACTCTAAAGAAACCCGGAGCCCAACTGCTCAGAATGAGCCAGAAGCACCACAACCTGAGAGACCTGCTAAACTCCGAATCCACAGTGCCTACGCACCAAAGCATTCAAGTCTTCAAGTCAGAGCCTCACACATCCCGATGCCCCAACACGTGAACTTCAAAATGCAAAAATGCTCCAGACCCTCAACCCCTCTCTCACCCTCCCAGAACACACGAAATCGAAAGAGCCCTAGACCTGGCATGGAAATTCCTACACAGCCTGAACCCGATCACGCCTGAAAGTCCCTAACCTCCTGAACTCCCAAACTCCTAGACCTCGCAAGGCAAAACCCCTAAACTCTAAACCCTAAACCGAAAACCTAAACCCTAAACCTTAAACCCGAAAACCTAAACCCTAAACCCTAAACCCTAAGCCCTAAACCCTAAACCCTAAACCCTAAACCCTAAACCCTAAACCCTAACCCTAAACCCTACCTGCCTCCAGCTTCGCCTGCAAGGCCAGGAGCCTCCGCTCCGGGTGCGCACCAAAGCCTACAGGCGTTAGGGTTTAGGGTTTAGGGTTTAGGGTTTAGGGCTTAGGACCTGGGGGTCTAGGGCTTAAGGGGAGGGGCGGTGGGGGAAGGGTTTCTTTCGTCAAGACCTACCCAAGCCGAAAGCCTGAAGCCCCAAATGCTCTTAAAGTCTCTTGAATCTTAAAGCCAGCCCGAATCAACCCACTAAGCCCACTACCGGCTGAGGGTTTTGGACGCACGCCTGCATCGGCAGACTTTGCCAGCCCCGCCGGCCTGAAACTTGGTCCTGGCGGTTTAGGGCTTCGGGCTTCGGGTTTAGGGGTTCGCGCATAGGGTAGAGGGTATTCAGTTCAGGGCACAATTTCAAGCCTCCGCCGGAAAAACTTCTTTGTCCCTGCTTTTCCGACCCGACCTGTTGGGACATGCTTGCAGCGAACTTGCTCAGAGGTTCTAACAAAAAGCTCCAGGTGGATCTTCCGTACAATGGCTCTACAGGGTCTCGGGCTATAGGCCTTAGGATTGAGGGTTCAGGGTTCAGGCTTTCGGGTTTGAAAAAACCCTAAGACCTAAACCCGAAGCCCTAAAACCCTAAATCCCTAAGCCGTTCCAAAGAGCTGGAACTTGATCAGACTTGTGGGCGCATGCCTCGGAGCCACCCACTCGAAATGGGGAAGGAGCCCGAAGGACAAAGAGAGAACTGACTAAATGTCAGCGGACCAAAACACGACTCCTAATCCCTGGAAGCCTCAAAAACCCGAACCAAAAGCTTTTAAGGTCCATGTACCTAAACAGGGAATGCATGGGCTTCAAAGTACTTCCTATGTAGGGACTTTGGGGCCAAAGTATATAACAATGAACACCCTAATCCTAAACCCTAAACCCTAAGCCCTAAACCCAAAACCCTAAACCCTAAACCCAGACCGTAATGACGCACATGGACCTTCGGAAAGCACACGCAGTCCTCGCACTTTGCTGCGGAATTCGCGGCCGGAGTGACGAGGTGGCCAGGGCTTACCGGGAGAATCCTCCGCAGAGTTGCATGTTGAGGTCCACTACTGTTTGTTTCAGAACCCCCCCCACATATATGTATATATGAATATCTGTATGTATATATATATATGTATGTATGTATGTATGTGTGTATGTGTGTATACAGATATATTCATATATGTATATATATATATATAATATGTTCTTTATAAGGGCAATATAGGGATCATTTTCTTAGTTTTTGGTGGATACTAAGCAAATGGCGGTGTTGAGGTCTGCGGCTGAGGCTCAGGGCTTGGGCCTTGTTTAAGGATTTGGTGTTCAGGACCGGTTATGTGGTTTCTAAGGCTTTGGGAACTTGAGATGGAAAGGTCAGGAGATGCATGTTCGTTCAGTTCACTATCTCCAGCCCCGAGTAGGGAAGAAAATCGGTCCCTTGACCAAGCCTTGTTGTGGGCCTTGTATCAGGGTGGGAGGGGCGGGTGTACTAAAGTTCAGGTGGGCGTAGAAGAGGTTCCCAAGCTGTGTATGGAGTCCGGCTTACGTGCCCCGAGGCTTCTATGTTTTTTGGGTTGTTAGGTTCTCCTTGAACATCCACCACTGATCCTTTGCTGTGATCCTTTGCTGAGGGTTTGCTTAATGGTTCTTCGAACTCGATACCCCATCGGCCCATCAAAGTCCCTACGTTGTAGAAGGGATACAAGGCGCCGATTCCCACCTTCCCTACTCAGGAACTACTCATAAGTGCGGTTAAAACCCTAAACCCTAAACCCTAAATCCTAAGTCCTAAACCCTTTTCCCAGCCCTGGCTTCGCCACAGCTTCTGTGAACTCGGAAACCCCGACACCCAAGAGAGAAAGCAGGGTCCGAGAGGAAACCAAGACCCTAAAACCACAAATCCGAAAAACCAGAAACACCCCAAAACCCCCAAAACCTCAACCCCCTTAAGACCTTAAACCCTAAACCCTAGCCCCTAAACCCTAAGCCCTAGCATGCAAGCATCTGTTGAAGGTTTTTGTGGCAGTTTCGAGGATTTCACCGCCACAGCTTTGCAATGGGGTCTCGGTGTTGGCGTTTAGGGTGCATGGCTTAGAAGTACGCATTTGGGCATCTGCGTCTTAGTTTGTGCAACCGCGCAGGTGTTGAGTTCCTTGCTTTAAGCTTGAGGTTAAAAAGTTTCGCGTGGCGCAACTTGGCTGGAAAAACACGCTGCTTTACCCTAAACCCTAAACCCTATTTCCTAAACCCCAAACCCTAACCCCTACACCCCTAAACCCTAAACCCTAAACCCTAAACCCTAAACACGCTTTTTTCACCGACTGGCTTCTGCAGCATGATCCCAATGAGTCCCCCCAAGAAGCGGAGCGGGAGCGCGTGCAAAGGGCGCTCCCGGCTGCGCCAAGGTCGCCACGGGGTTTAGGGTTTAGGGTTTAGGGTTCAGGGTTTAGGGTTTAGGGTTAGGGTTTAGGGTTCAGGGTTTAGAGCTTAAGATTTAGGATTCAGGGTTTAGGGTTTAGGCTTTAGGGTTTAGGGGAACGAGTTCGTGCCTTTGTGTTTTGGGCTTTAGAAGTTTAGGGGTGGAGCCTTACAGGGTGCATCGGATCAGATTGAGGCTTGGGCTCAGGGCTTCTGAGCACAACTGCCGAACATGAGAACTGGATGCTTATGGAGACATTCTATTATTGTATTACTATATTTTAGGTGTGCTATTGTATATTGTTGTAAGGGCTCGGAGTCCTCCAGCCCGAAACCCTGCACGTATCTCATCCCTAAGACCAACATGAAGGCCCTATGGACGGTCAGCCCCAAACCCATGGCGACTCTGCTGTCTGCAAAAGCTTTTCTCGCATCCGCGCTTGAACTCCGACTGTCCAAGTCTAACCCCCCTAAACCCTAAACCCTAAACTCATAAACCCTAAACCCTAAACCCTGCCTTAGGCGTTGTAGGGTTTAGGGAGTCCCAAGTAAAACAGATCATGTGTTTACTTCGGGACCTCAGGTCCATAAAGAATCACTGCTAGTTCCAAGACCCCAAAGCACTCCGACTCCTGAAGCCAATTTTAGGGTTTAGGGTTTAGGGATTAAGGATTAGGGTTATCGTCTCTGAAGCTATCAACATCCAGAAGCCTCTAAGCAATTTTCCTAAACCCTCAACCCAAACCCTAACTTTACTATAATCATTGTTTCAATTCCTAAGCCCCAAGCCCCAAGCCCTAAACTCAGGGTCCCCCATTCACCGGCGAGGTGCCCTCGGCTACGGGAAACTAAAGACCAAAAAACACATATATATATATATATACACACATATATATATGTATATATATATATACTGTATGTGTATATATGCATATACACAGATATGTATGTATGTATATATATATATATAAATAACCCTCTTGCCCTTTTGAAGAAAACCTCTAACCCTCTAACCCTCTACCCGAAACCCTAAACTCTAAACCCTAAACCCTAAAACCCTAAACCCCTAAAACCCTATAAACATCCCTAACCCTAAAACCCTAAACATCCCCAAACTCTAAAACTCTAAAACCCTAAGACCCTAAAACCCCAAAACCCGAAAACCCTAAAACCCTGAAACCCTAAAGCCCTACTAAAACCCTAATTTGCTTCAGGATCAGGGTCGGAGTCCCATCGGAGGAGCGACGATCAGACGATGACCTCCGCATCCCGCACCTGGCTGCTGGCGACCTCCACGCAAAGCACCTGCCCAAGGAAGGGTTTAGGGTTTAGGGTTTAGGGTTTAGGGTCTAGGGTCTAGGGTTTAGGGTTGAGGGCTTAGGGCTTAGGGTTTATGGTTTAGGGATGTTTAGGGTTTGGGGTTTCGGGCTTAAGGTTTAGGGGCCCGGGAGGTTAGGAACCATAAGCCCTAAGCCTTAAGCCCTAAACCTACCAGGTTCAAGGATGGGGTTGGGGTCATCTGAACCGAAAAACCTACACCCTCAACCCTCCGTTGTGGGGAAAGTCTCTAGCTTTTGTGGACGGGTCCAGGGTTTACTAATATTTGTGTAAGAACCTCCCCCCCAAAAGATGAAGATACATCTTCCTTATGTGGGCAATTTTGGGATGACGATGTTTGATTTTTTGGTTCTTGAGCAAATGGATACCATTCTTTAGACATGTTGCAACTGGGTACTATTTTTAGATACTATATTTTGGTTCTTCAGCAAACATGTTTCAGGCCGAGGAAGGGAGCCTCCGATTTTGGAGCCGAGTGAGCCCGGGGTTCGGTATGTCGGCACGGTAACGTATAGAAGGCTTCTTGAGGCTCCCCCTAAACCCGAAACCCTAAACCCTAAACCCTAAACCCCAAACCCTAAACCCTAAACCCTAAACCCTAGGCTGGAGTGCAGGTAGTCCGTGAAGTATTCGAGTCCTCGAACCAATGCTTCCGAAGGCGCATCGAGGGATGTGGGTTCCAGAGTTGCAGGTGCATGGCATCGGGTCTTAAGCCTGTTGGCTAGAAATCGAAAGTTAGGGTTTGGGGGTTTGGGGGTTTTGGGGTTTAGGGCTATTGAAATGCATTGGGTCCACAGTGTTAACAGTCCAAAAAGCCCTACTTTAGGCTGAGCGTGTCAACAGTGCATAGGTGAGTTGAAGGTTCTCCCAGGGCTTCATACCCAGGTCGCCTCCTCGTTCTTGGAGTCGTCGACGACCTGAATGATGGCCCCTTGTGGGCACATTTTGGGGGAACTGGCCGTGGAGAAGCTGAGTTCAGAGATCAGCGAATCAGCTCTTCTTCCGGGTAACTCCAAAAAACACGTTGATAGGGTAGAACCCACAAGGGACGGCCTTACACCCCAAACATTGGGATGCGCCCCCTTCTAGTCAAAGTCCTTAAAAGGGAATCTAGTACCCCCTATGACAATCCCTATTAAGGAGCTGTTAGTATAACCCTACACCCTAAACCCTAGACCCTAAACCCTACACCCCCAACTCTAAACCCCAAGTCGTGTGTGACAAGGGCCCGGCGATCTGGCCCTCCACCTTGACGGGACTCCCAAGCACCTGGCTTTTTTTGTTTTCATTTGGGGGTTTCCGAATTTAGCGGGTTTAGGGTTAGGGTTGAGGGTTAGGGGTTAGGGGTTAGGGTTTAGGGTTTAGGGTTTAGGGCTTAGGGTTTAGGGTTTAGGGTTTAGGGCTTAGGGTTTAGTTCCTGGGGTCCTTGTTCTACGGGAATCCTACAATTTGGGGTCTTTGTAAGGGGTCCCTAATTTTCGAAAACCCCCGTTTATAGGGTCCCTTTTGAGGGCTTGCGGTGCGAAAGATGTCTTCAAGGGTGTACGGTTTCGGGTACACAAGGGTCTAGGGTGTCGCGTCTACAAGGGCCTAGGGCTTGTAAGGGTTCATGCCTTCTTGGTGCCCTCGAATTTGAAGACGGGTCAGGTCCTAGATAACCGAGTGCTTCCTAGAGTTGGAACCCACTCCTCCACGGCTCCCGTAAAGGCCCTAGAAACCCACAGAGGGACTTCTCTTCGCAAATTCTTCTGACCCGTATATTAACAAAAGTCCGCTGCCCATCTCAAAGACGGCCTCACGCTGCTTGGCGGACAGCTCGTGAAAGGAAAGCCTTGGGAAAGGCTGAGGCCATATGGGTATTTGCCAAAATCGGGGGTATATCCCTTTCATACCCCAAATAGAATCGAATCCCTTTAAAGGGACCCCCAAAAAGGGTACCCCTATTTTCGGAAACCCTCAAATTAAGAACCAGAGTTATGATGCCAACTACAAGCCTGTCTATGTGATGGGGATGCAGTGCCCTAGATGATCCTTTTTGTGAGTGGCGATCCCGAAACATAAGTTCACGGGGCTGTCACTGTGCAGCATAGCAGGTGCTCAACCCCATGGGCCCTATACGCCCGAAGTCCCATAAACTCCATAAGCCCCCGGCAGCCTGGCAGGGGAGCTTTTCTCTCTCTTCGTGGCTGCTCGCTGCAGCTTCGAGGCTTTCTTTCGCTGTCGGGGTGAGACCACGGAGATGTGTACAATGCGCACGGGAAGCTGAAGTCGGAGATATGGATTTGGGGTTCAGGACTTGGGCTTGCCTTCATCTTTATATATATATAATTAGATATATGTATCTGTATATGTATATATATATATACACCCCAAACTCCAAAAAAAACAACCAAGGGTTTAGACTTTAACTGCATCAAGGCTTTCGGAAAACCTCCATGCTTCTCAGGCGGCTCTCTGCTCAACGCCCGCAGTCCCGGCACTACTCCTGGCGCAGCTCCCAACCTCAGCTCTTCGTGCGACAGGGCGCCGATCACAGCCAGACCCTACCTGGGGCCCTGGAGGTTTATGGGTAGTTAGAAGTAGGGTGAAAATTAGGGTGACTATACTTATAGCCTTACTTACGGTACTTCCAACCCTACTTCTGACTACCCATGAACCTCCAAATATACTTACCTTCCATGCTTGGGGGTGGAATGCGAAGCCCCGAGCCAAGCCCTGAACCCTGAACACATGTGAGCCCATGCCTTCAAGCAAGTCTTCACCTAATGAGGCTTTGTTGGCCCAAGTTGGACCCTCAACCTCTCAGATGAGAGTGACGGGAGGAGGTAAGGGTTGAGGACTTAGGCACTTAGGATGAAGTCAGCCCCTGCCCGAACAACAACTCATTGCAACCATCTCCGACATCAAGAAATCTACAGACTCACCCCAAAGGACCCCCAAAACAACTTAAGATTCCGGAAAACTCAGCCGATCCCCCAAAACCCCCCCCCAGGAAAAAACCCAAACACACTGGCCAGGTGGCGGCGCTGTCCCCGTGGCTTCGGCGACTCCTCCGCCGGGGCTGCCGAGGCCGCTGCAGCCGCGGAGGCCGAGGCTGCTGCCGGGGCCTCCTGCGCAAGAGGGCTTGTTTCCTGCAACAGAAGCCCCCATGTTGTGAGGTTAATGGTTGTTTGTTTTTTGTTGGTTTTATCGGTTCATCTTGGGTTTATGTCGGGTTTTTGAAGGGGTTGATCTAGGGCGTATATAGGGTTTATTCTTTCCTGGGGGGGTGACAGCGAGGCTCAGCCTTTGGGGAACCCAAACACAGAGGCAAAGCTTGCTTACTCGACTACTGAGGGTTTCGTCTTCCCTGTCAACCTAGCATCTGAAGCTTTTTTGGGGAACTTAGAGATGCATGATTCAGCTGCGAAAGAAGAGCTGAGAGTGGCCCATGACTTTCGAAGCGGCTAGTAAACAGACGCAAGCAGACTTATCGGTTAGTTGGCTGCAACCTTGCTATTCCGGGTTTTGGCACGTAGCCTCAGCAACCTACTTTATTACAACTACCCATCATGAACCTTCAAGTAGCCTCCAAAGCCCTCCCAACCCCAAACCCTCAAACCTAAACCCCGAACCCTAATCCCTAGACCGCAAGCCAGAGGTCCTTGGACGGCTCGTCTCCCGAGAGGCCTTCCAAATTGGACGTTCAAGGCTTGGGCTGAGGGGGTTAGGGTTTAGGGTTTAGGGTCTTGAGTCTTAAGTAGGGTTTTGGGAATGAGAGAGTTTAGGATTGAGGGGTTGTAGGAGCTGGGATTTAGGCGGGTGGTTGTAGGAGCTGGAATTTAGGGTTCCGGGTGGAGGAGTTGAGGGGCTGTGGGGCTTAGGTGTTCATGCAGCCCAAATCCAAAAGCCTTGCTTGGGGCTAGCCCTAAACCCGAAACCCCACAACGGCCTTATAAACCCCTAAACCCCCAAACGACCCAAACGCTACCCAGAACCATTCGAAGGAATTGGATCTACACTATGGACCTTTGCTATCATATGCTCCTTTGTGTTGGGGGAGCAAAATGGGGCCCATCACCTGGGACCCCCCCCCCCCCCCAGCCCCCACCCCCCAGTTTTGTTAAATCCAACCCTAAAGCCTAAACCCTAAAACCCTAAAACCCCAAAACCCCAAACGTCCAAAACCCCCGCAAAGTTAGCCAGGTTGCTGGGAGGCGATGTGGGGTCCACGGTCGCGGGCCGACTCTCCTCGAAAGGGCTCATGATGAGGTTCTGAAGATTCAGGTCCCTAGGGTTTAGGGTTTAGGGTTTAGGGTTTATGGCTAGCATGCCTGCTTGCTGCTTGATTGTAGCTTCTTGGGCGGGGGATGTGATGGGGAAGGGGGGTTGGGGATGTCTACCAACCTTCGATTTCGCTGGTTTGGGTGTGAAGTGAAGAATGAAGGTGGAGTATGGTTTAATGCACCCCAGAACCCCACCTAGTGGCCCCTGGCAATTCATGTTGAGGGTTTGTAGACATGTGGGTCCGGAAGAGCTCTGATAGTGCCTTGAAAGCTCGAACCCTTTCTGTAACCAGATCCTTGTGCGGTCATGTGACTTTCCAGGGAGCTTGTGTTCAAAGACTTTTTTTGGCGAACACAGGGGCTGTACTGACAGGTTTTGAAGGGAACCCTTTGCGAGGCGGGGGCGGGGCAGAGGAGGGGGTACAGCCTTTCTTCACAAAACAAAGGAACATACAGGAACCTCCTGTGGAAAACAGCCGTGTTCCGAAGACAAAGCCCGCCGCAGCCTTCCTTCCAAAACCCTTGGCGCTGAAACCCTATGCCTAGGATGGCCCTTACACCCCTCTGAAGAATATTGCTAAGTATGATCCTCTCAAGCCCAAAAAGGTAAAATAGCAATTATCCCAACGGCCTACCTAGATGCCCTACACCCTCAACCCCATAGCCCCCAAGGAGGTCAGAGGAAGCTCACATGCAGGAAAAGGGGCCGGCTCGTGTGAGTCGGAGGACGACTGCTGGGCTCGACGCGAGCTGCCTGGCTCCAAGGCTCAAGGCGTTAGCGGAACTAGGGTGTAGGTTTAGGGTTTATTCTGGTTCAGGGGTTAGGGTTTAAGGTGTCATTCAAGCGCATAGGGGTTCAGGAAATAAGCATCGGTCAGGACCTGCTTGCGGATTCACCCACCCACCCCTCTCAACAAGGACATCAGGGTGGGGCATGCGAGGGGAATGACAAATCCGCGACCCCAGACGAGTTGAATCATACGTGGGCTTTTGACAGGTGAAGGTCTGCTATTTCATCCTGATCCCTAAGGCCACAAAGTCCGCATGCAGGAAGAGGCCCAAGCATTCCCAATTTTTGTTTAGTACATGGACCCTTCGGGGATCTGGCTTCTTCCCACGTCCCACTTGGGCTGACCCTGACTCCACAGCCAGTGCAGCACAGGATTGAACCCGCTGAAGCTAAGGTTGAGCCAGTCAAGCTCCTGACAAAGTACCGGTTTTGGGGCAGCAAAAGCCCAACACACGAACCCCAAACCCTGAACCCCTTAAGGGCGAGTAGGGTGCAACGCTCCTACGAAGGAAACCCAGTTGAAGCTCAAGCCAATTGAAGCTCAAGCTTCACGGGTTCCCTTATCGTACCCCCCCCCCCCTACTAAAATCCTTAGGGTTTAGGGTTGTAATAAGGGGGTACTATAATCCCTACTAAGGAGCTCTTCGTACAGGCTGAGTAAAACGCACACAAGGGGCCCCTTGCAACACACAGGGGCGGAGAACCCGGGCCCCAAGTGCGCCGGTGCACCTTTTGGGATGTTGCCCCTACAAGAACAGCTCCTCACTAGGGATTATAGACCCCCTATTCTAACCCTAAACCCTAAACCTTAAGAATTATATTACGGGGGCAATATAGGGGTCGGAACAATTACCAATCATATTCCCTACATTCCACATCAAATGATACTATACTATTAAAAACCCCAAAACCCTAGTCGACTTATGAAGGAAAACCCTAGTCGACTTATGAAGGCCCCTCTCTAAACCCTGATAAGGAGCTGTTAGTATAAAAGGGGAACATCCTAAACCCTAGACCCTAAACCCTAAACCCTAATTAGTATAAAGGGGGAACATCCCAAAGGTGCACAAAGCCACGGCCACTGAAACCCTGCCTGCCTCCTCCCGAGCCTTTCAGCATGCTCTTCACCTGTAGGATAGGGTTTAGGGTTTAGGGTTTAGGGGTTAGGGGTTAGGGTTTAGGGTTTAGGGTTTAGGGTTTAGGGTTTAGAGTTTAGGGTTTGGGGTTTAGGGTTTAGGGTTTCGGGATTCAGGTTTCGGGTTTAGGGAGGAAACTTCAATGATTCAGGTCTTCGGCTGTTCCCCAAGGCCGTACGGGGCTTACACACACACACACACACAAACTCTCCCCCCCGGAATCCATGACCGCAAGCACGAAGACCATCAATCCGAAACCCCAAACCCCCAAATCCAAAACAGTTCGCCCCGCAAGCCTCATGTTTGGTTGTTCGAGGCATCGATTGAAATCATGGAACCCTCTAAACCAACATATATATATATAAATAAATGTAAGTAATATCTTTACTTGTACCGATCTATACAGCTGGATACTTGTTTATAACAAAAGACCCTTATTTAGAAACCCTAAACCGCAGGGACGGAGGGGGGAGGTGGGGGGCTTGGGGGACTTCAGGTTAGTTGTCCAGTACCTAAGCGAACTCAAGGTTAACCTTTGGGATTATAAGGGGGTTCTGTGAATGCAAAAAGGAACCAATTAAAGGTTACCTACTCTACGGCTAAGACAGAGCGAAGTTCCCCTGATCAACTTTGGCCGTGT